GATCATGTCTTTATGTGGGGGGGGGGGGGGGAGGGGGAATGATGGGAATGCTGCCTCTCAGCGTTGTGAGCTCCTTTTTCCAGAATTTGTGTCTTAGAGCTAGAATATTCCCTCTGGACTCGTGTCTGCAGACACCTCATGTTCAGAATCAGAGAAGGAGGAGATGGTAAACTCACTGTTGACACTGTGAAATCTTGAATTCTATTTTTCCCCCACCAAGCTATTTTCCATTTTCCCCCACCAAGCTATTTTCCATAATCCTCAAATGGCTGGTTTTTGTTTGTTTGTTTGTTTTTTGCATTATCCCAAGTATGAAAGTTTTGTTTAGTGTCTGCAACAAAGCAAGTGATGTTTGCTTTATCTTACCCAGATTTAGAATCTTAAATTTTAAAACCTATAAAATGATATCATTATATTTTTAGACAAAGACTCAACAGTAAAGGGTGATTAGCTTAGTGCTTCTAGAATGCTAGTTCCAAGCCTTTTCTGTGTAGGATCTGGCTCTCTGGATACCCAGGTGCAGGGTCCACTGATAAATTTCAAGTCAGTGAAAACAGTCAGTCTGATTAAACTCCTCAACTCTCAGGGACACTGAACACTAACTGACCATAGACTCGTGTCATGTTCTTTTCATATCACTTTCTTGCAACAGCTCTGATTTTCCTTCCCATACCTCCAACTGCTCCTTAAAAGTATGTCTGAGTTGCAGATTCATTGTCCTTCTCATTCTACAAGATTCTCTGAGCAATCTCAGCTCTCAGTTTTCCATTAGCATACTTGTGGCTTTTCAGTATTTATCTCTAGTCCAGAGGTTCCTCCTGAGTTCCCCATAAACATTTCTCTTGAGACATTTCTGCTTCTATACATTTTAGGCACCACAAACTCACTTTCCTCTCTCAGTAAAGGACATTCTCAAGTAATCAGCTGCCCACTAAAAACAGAATTTTCCTAGAATCTCCACTGTAGCTTTCTTTCCACAACATTAACACAATCATTGAACTAATACATTGTTTTGGTCAATTCCATTACCTTAATAGTTTTGAAGTTCATCTTTTTAAAAAAGGTTTTTTGGGCCCTCCCTGGTGGGTTAAAACGCAGCACTAAGAAGCTAAAGCCACTTCAGCGTGAGTTTGATCCCCACCGTAGAGGTGACCCACATGGTGAGGCAGAACTCTCCTGACCTGCCCGCTGCTCCCCTCAGCAGTGTACTACGTCAGTCAGCCTGTTCTGCTCCCCACTCTGTCTCTGGTGAATCCTCTCACTGCCCCTGCACCTCTGGCTTGTACCCCAGTTCTGTATGCACAAATAAATAAATCTTATCAAAAAATTTTTTAATTTATTTATTCATACAAGAATTGGGGGTACAGGCCAGAGGTTCTGGGGGTGAGAGGATTCACCAGAGACAGAGTGTGGAACAAAACAGACAGATCAACTGAAATTCACTGCTGAGGGGAGCAGCAGGTGAGGTGGGAGAGGTCTGCTGTGCCATGTGTGTCATCTCCCTGGCTGAGATTGAACTCGTGCTGCAGTGGCTGGTGATAGCTTCATAGTGCTAATACTCACCCCTTGTACCTCCAGGGAGGCCCCCTGGAATTCATCTTTATGCTATCTCTACTGCCACCTAGTCTGCCCATTGTCCTGTCATCTAAGATAGCCTACCTGAAACACTTGAACTTATTCTTGCTCCCTTCCACTCCATTTTCTTATATAGCCATGCAATCTTTAAGAAATATAAATTTTCTCTTGTCACTATTTTTCTCAAATCTTGTAAAATTTACAGTTTTTCTAATGATTCACTTCTTAAATGCTTAAAATAATTGTATAACTTCCTGTCCTTCTGAGTATGAAGTGATTCCTCAGAATTGGAAATGAAACAGACATTAGGAACATATGTGATATGAAATTCAGAACAAGTTCACTTAATGTTATTGTCTTGTGACTGTTTTGTTGATGAAGAATGATGTTAAAATGCCTTGGATGCATTTTAACTTTCTGACCTCAGAGGCTCATTCAGTATCTTACCAAAAATAACTTGCTAAATGACTATAGTGTTCTAGAAGAATTTCTACACTTTTGAGAGGTGTGCATTCCCTTCCCTCTTCTCTGAGAAATCTCAGTATAATAATATGAAGAGTAACAATGGTCACCTTGGGGCTAAGAAATAGAATGCACAGACATTTATAAACTAATTTACTTTAATAACCCTCCTCGTTAAAATATAGTTTCTAGTTTAAGGAAAAACACCTTGTATGTTTTAATGAACCTGTGTTTTCTCCTTACCAGCCCTCCTACCAAAAGGAAAAACATAGAATGTTCAGTCATTATAGATATGGAGAACTACAGCTGCCAGGTAATGCTGATACTGCAGGCATATTGTAAAGATTAGTATGTACAAAGGTCTTGCACAGTCTTGCAAGATTTGAAAAGTAAAAGATAAAAAGAAGGAGAATTTGAGAAAAATATTTGTAAAAAAAAGATGTAAGTAGTTTTCAAAGAATAGTATTGGTTCAATTTTTTGTTGCCACCAGTATCAAGGCAGAATCTAGGGAGCCTAGAGTAGCTAGCTATTATTACTTTGTGATATGCTCACTCTGTCATCTTATGTAAAAGATCTTAAGTTTGTCTTTCTAATTGGTATTTCATTTAGTATTATTCTTCAACTCATATGTATTTATTATCTATTTCCTCCTATGATCAATGACAAAGTTACTCAATTCAATGATCATTTACCTAGCAAAAAGAATAAAGATGACTACATCAGTTAGCATATAGATTCAATTGCAGTAACTAAGATATTTAACATAACTGTGGCTAAAACAAGATAGAAAATAACTCCTCCCAGAGAGGTTGAGTTGGAATTCTGGAAGTGGTATATGGTGGCTCCACTTTCTCCAGAGACCTCCTGGTCAGTCGTCTTCTGTCTTATTACTCTACCACCCTTAACCTATGGTGCTCCAATAAAGTTTTCTGCATTTCAGCAAGACAAAAATGAAAGAAAAGACATGTCCATGCCATGTTTATTCACATCCCAATGTCTTGATCTTGAACAAATGATAGCATTTAGTTGTAAGGCAGAGCAGGCTGGGAAATGTATTCTTTATTTGGACAGCCATATTGCTAAGTAAGAAGGAAAAATGTGGGCCCTCCCTAGTGGTGCAGCCTGTTAAAGCACAGCAAGCTAGCTGGTCAAGCTCAATACCCTGCCCCTGTATACCTGGCCTGTACCCCAGTTCTGTACGCATACATAAATAAATCTTCTTAAAAAAAAAAAAAAAGAAGGAAAAATGTTTATTGCTGCACTACTGGAAGTTGCCTTCGTAATTAGGTAACTCAGGTTTCTACAGCCAATCAGCTGAAAATACTCTGAAACATTATTTTAAATAATAGTTAAATATCATAAATGCATGATAAGTATGAAGGAAGAATTATATGAAACTCTGTTTATTAAAGAGATAAAAACTTGAGGACAATATGCTTATCTTATGAGGAACCCAAAGCACACCCAGGAATAGAGCCCTAGGACCTGGATTTAGATAAAGAAGGAAATTCCTGAAAAAGAGAGATAGTAGAATATCTGACAAAGTAGGCAAAAAGATGGAGATTAATGTAACTAGATTCCTTTACAAATCTTAGAGTCTCTTAAAAAAGGAGAATTCTTTTTTCCAGACAATTTTACTTATCTGACTGAAGAAAGACCTTGCTTTTTCTGTTTCTTTCCCTTTTCAGGATGCTATTCTGGAGACAGTGACCACCTTTTGGCAATCCATCAGAAGAGCAGGAAGCCAGCCTTTATTTATCACCATTCACAAGACATTGAAAAGAGTCTGGATATAGCGCCACAAAAGATCTATAAGCACAACTACCGATCTTCCCATGCTCAAATAAGCAAACGCCATCAAATTGTTAATTCAGCATTTCCTAGACCTGCATATGACCCATCTCTTAATCTGTTGGCTTTGGCTGGTCAGGATCTTGAAGTAGAAAATCTTCCAATCCCAGCAGCAAATGTAATTGTGGTGGTAAGTACTGCATAAACCATTGCTGGTGCTTTCTTCTGTATCCTTGCCTGAGAGGGAGGAGGAGGACATTGACGGTGAATAGTTCTTGCATCTCACCCATATTTACCACAGCGCTTCTCATTCTCTGATATTTCTTTGCTTTTACTTGCTTATTATCTGTTTTCTTCCTCTTGAATGTAATCCAATAAAATGGGAACTTTTATCCATATTCTTTGTGCATAACACAGTGCATGGTCCATGATAGGTGTTTTTAAAATATTTGGGGGGGCAGAAATGGATTTAAAAATTGACCTAGGAAGGCCTCACTATTATAGCAGACCATATCCTGAACTGAGCCTCCTGTCTTCTGTTATGATATGCTCTAGGAGAGGCCTTTGTGTCATTTTATGTAAATAAATAGTATAGTTATTGAAGATCTTCTGGTCACTTGACTCAAATTGTAAGAAATGGTGGAACCACTGAAAGGGAGAAGATGTCATTTCAGGGTGGTTTTCTGTCTTAATAACAAACACGATGTCTGGGGATTGATGGCTGGTGTTTCTAATATCACTGAGCAAGTATCAACCTTCATGAATGAAGATGATATGATGGTCCATGGCTTATGTTTTTAGGTTTAGAACCTAGGTCGTTACTTCTCAATTTGTGGAGTTCTGATAGTTTAAAAGACTTACTGGGGTTGACACCTTATTTTAATTATTGTTCTTCTCAAGTTCAAAATCATAAAAGAGAATCTATCTAGCTATATGATTGTTATTGCACTTCTGTCCAAAATATAATCAAATGTCCTAACTTTTAAGGCCAAAATGAGTCAATGAAAAGGTTTGCAGTGAAATAATCTCTTTATACATCAACTCCAATCAATTTTAACAAGTTTTTCTTCTTTAATTTTTTAAAAATAGACTACACGCCAGAATACATTACCAGTGTCAAGAATCAAAAACCCATTCATTAATGTCTTCAACTAGCATACACTATTTTTGATTCACTCATAATTTGGGGTATCTAGAAATAGTCTCTGATTTTTACTTTGGAAATGTCTAAGGGTAAATGTCAGTAATTCAATAAGTAACAAATTGAGAACACAGGATGAGCACTCATGAGAAAATATGTGGGTCATTTGGCCTCCTAAAATACTTGAACATATTTTCTGCATTTCTATGAGTAACAGATGTTCTGAAGGTGAAAGCCATGTACTCTGCCTATTCACTGAAGATAAATGATGTTAATGATGTCGCTGTATTTGGATATGCCTGTGCTAATGCAAGGGGTCACGGGAGACATTTTCCCCTCCCGTGACCATCATATACCCATAGTCATCAACTCTTATACTCACTTTGAATTACGGTTCAAGAGGTTGGTTCTATCTTGCAATGTCATGTACTAACTAGTTTAATTATGGCATCAATGAGGAATTTTGGCAGGTCATTCACTTTTGCTTTATAATTTAGAGATTCATAAAGAAGCTTTTTGTGTGTGTTTGGGGGGAGGGTGATGATTACATGGAAGCAATAGTTAGTTTTTCTACATTAGTCTATTGTCTGGAACTGGTCTCTATGCTGTGGTTTTGGAAGCTTACAACAACGCTAATTCTAATGTTCCCTGTAACCCACTTACTGTCACTTACATTCATGGTGATTTAGGAGGAAAACCAAGTATGTGGGTTTTTCTAAAAATATGTTAATTGTGCTCAGTTTACTAAAAAGATAGAGGGTCAACATCATTCAGTTATCAACTGGTTTGAAAGTTCATTCTGTCCATAAAAGAGATTGAAGAATGGAATGTAAGGGAAAAGGGAGATATTTTGAGATTGCTAAATGACTTTGGTGGCATAAATGGCATGTGTTTGTGTGACTAGGATATACAAGTATAAGAAATATATGTCATACATATTAAAACTATATATGTATGTGTGTAATATATATGCATGGTATATATAACCTTTATATGTGCCAGATCAATTCATATATGTGTGTAGGTATATGTATGCAAATACACATATACAACTTCTCTGCACCAAGTTTAATTTATATATATATATATATATATATATATATATAAGTGTATATATGTATAAAACATGTTATAATATAGCATATTATAAATGCACACATACACATACTTGAGACCATGCTGGTTGAGGTATATTACTGTGGCACCACAGAATTACTTTGTAGCTGAGTTTATAAAGTGAACGATGTTAGTAAGTATCAATTTCCTGAATTAGGGAAATTATTGAATTTTTTTCTTTTAGCTACAATAGAAAAGTCAATTCTGTTCTGCAAAGGGGAGGGGAGAGAAAAATGGAAGAAGAAGGAAGGGAAGGAGAGAGGGAGGGGAGAGGTGGGAAAAGAGGAAAAGAGGACAGTGTTGAAAGCAGTGGGAAGACTTCTTTGAGTACATAAAATGATAAGGAGTTTCCAGGAGGCTAAGATGCCGGTTGCAGAGTTCCTAAAATAAAGCTCATCTTGTTCACTACTCACTTAGACTAGCAACAGACACATCACTAGACTATTCTACTCCTTAGTCCTTAATATGAAGGTTTTTAGGATGTAAAAGAAAAGAGTGAAGGGAGACATGACAGTGGGATAAGATTACTCATCATGTGATGTTGGCACAACTGAGTAGCTATTTGACAAAAGTTAATTATGACTTTGTGTATATAGTGTATTCCGAATCATGCCATGACTCCATAACCATTACAAAAATCCTATGACGGTCACCAATTCCTTAACTCCTTTTCTTATTTCATCATTCCACCTGTCCTTCTCTTATCAACTGACTAGTCTGCACCCACCATTTCCCACTTTTGTCTGAATGATCTGCAGCAAATGTAAATCAGACCATAACACTACGCCCCTTCTGTGCCCCCTCACACTCCCCATCCCCAGCCTTTTCTTTCCCATAGGGATGAAACCCAAACACTTCCTTTTGCCAGGATGTAAATCATCTTACATCAGCTGGGATCCAATATCCCAAAACCGTTCCCCACAGATTCCTGACTCCACAATTATGAGAAGAGTTCCAGGAATTTGCATTCAAGAAACATTCTGGGCGGTTCCTGAGTTTTGAGGTACTTAGGAAGGGTAACAGGACAAAGGCTCTAAAAAGATAACAAAGGACACACCTCCTCCTGGTTCTAATAACACACTCACTGTCACAACTATAAACAAAAAGGAGTTTTGGAGCAACCAACAGAAAAAAAGCATATCTATTTTAAATGGGAGAGGAAGAACTCTGAGGAAGAGGTAGAACAGCCAGTTACTGAATGATGGTGCCACACAGCTGCGGGTTGTAGTCAGCAGGGGTCTCTGCTCTGGAGCTAGGGCAAAGTCTTCTCAAGTCTTAGTGCCACAGGGGCTGGCCGGTAGCAGCAGACCACTACCTGGCTGACAACTTTGTCAAGGGCCATTCCCAGGAAAAGCTGGAGAGAGCCCTTGAGTGCTTCCTTTATTAAGGGCTCCCCCAAATTGCTGCTCTGCTCCACTCCTTTCCCAGCAGCCCCCTACCTCCCTGGTTCCCATTCAGACATTACTAATGCACTTCACCTCAGGGCCCTGTGCTGGCATCCCAGGCCTAAGGGGGAAGAGCTTGGTCCTGCACTGGGCTGCTTGTAGTCACGTGGGATGGGGGAGAGGGAGGGTCTGTGTGGTTGGTGTCCAGAGAGGTGCAAAACAATTCTATGGCATATGTAGTAACCTACCATTTAATGCAATGCTGACACTGTTTGCTTGGAGATAGAATCAGATCTCACAGACTGAGATTTCATTCTACAAGACTGGCTCCCCCAGCCCCACTGCCAGTGCTGGGGGCAAGTCTTGGTTGTTATCTGTAGTTCTGACCAGTTGACTGTGAACTGGAGCCTCCATGATCCCCACCTCAGGTTGGATTAATTTGCTAATGCAACACACAGGACTCAGAGTGGTATTTTACTTTTTTACTTACTAGCATACCACTTTATTATAAAAGGGCATCACTGAAACAACAGATGGAAAAGATGCCTGGGCAAAGAGTGGGGAGGGACACAGAGCTGCCAGGCCCTCTGTGGGTACAGGAACACTCCCACCACCTCCAAGTGGTCACCAGGAAGCTCTCTGAATCTCATGATTTACGGTTTTCATGCATTGTTATAGAGGCATGCTTAATACAATCTCTGGCTTCTGTTGATGCATTCAGCCCTCTCCAGGAGTGAAACTGAGTGTTCTAACCTTCCTATCACTTAGCAGCTTCTTCCTACAACCTGCTCCTATCTTTAGGGGTTTTCAAAAGTCCCCTCATCCATTGTACTGTCAGGTGTGGTTGAAATGATTGGTTGCGAATAACCAAAGTTAGTCATTTCACTTTTAATGGCTCTGGACTTGTTTCAAGAACTCAGAACAAAACTCTAAATAGTATAATGTAGTTTACATAGGAAACTACAAGAGCTATTTTCTAGAAACTGGGGATGATGAACAAGTAGGATTTCTTATTATAAATCATAATATCACATCACCCTAACCATTTATCTTCCTCTTTTCATAGGGAGAGTGATCACAGTCCTGTACCTTAAACATATTCCAGATTTCTTTTGAAATATGACAGTATGATCCTGCCATTACTCATATCTCAGCTTGCTTTTCTTACCTGTCTGCTGTATTTGGGCCATTTGAGTCCAGAAGAAGGACATCATTAGCTTTTGTTACCTTTGAATTTAGACTACATAGTCATATGATTTAGTGTTTTAATTGAAAAAATATGTTAATAAAAATAACTTCAAAGTAAAACAAGAAATAAACCCACTTTTTGAGCCAAATGTTCACAGATGGTTTCTAATATATAGGAAAAGATGTATTTGTGGGATTGGTTCGCCTTCCTCCCTGGAAATGATAGCAATATGATACAAATTCCATGAGAACCCAAAGGACTTGGAGAACACAGAATGAGCATCAAGACAGTCAGGACTGAGTATCTGTCTTATCCTTAAATTTCCCTGACCATATTTGTTAATATCATCCAATCAATGT